GGGTTTAGCTTGTGCCAGGGGTTTTTGCTATTTCATTTACCTTTCTGACCATGAGGCTCATGCCTTTTCACTTCTCACCTGGCTATATTGGAACTTCTCTGACTTCACTAATCTCCAGGAAGCTCATTATTGGGATAACCTTATCATCCTGTAAGATTGGCCTTGATATTGAACCTCATCACTACCCTGTGGCCTCTTAGATTGGAGGGTGGGGCCGTGAACTCCAAATCTCCATTTAAAGAGCGATATCAGCTCAGGAATTTACTCATCTCTAGTCTGTTGGCATTACCTTGAGAATTCTTTGGCTGACTTCTCCATCTCCACCATTGGGTATATTCCCCACCCTCCTTTCAGCTTTTTTTATTTTTCTAATGTTTTGTCTTCCCCCATTAGATTGTCAACTCCTTAAGGACAGGGGCTGCCTTTTTTTTTTTATTTGTATCTCCCAGTATTTAGCACAGTGCCTGACACATAACAAGTGCTTAATAAATGTTCATCGACTATTGACTGTGCCTATACACCAAAGTATGATGACACCCAGCAAAAACATCTCATGAATTAGTTTGGATAGTTTGTCTGGATGAGCTGTCCCAAATGCAATCAGTGTTCACCATAAATCTGTCTGAACAAGGGATACCTTCCAAGTACCCAGGAGCATATGCCCTTTCTAGAAGCACAGACCATCTGAACTAGAAGGGATGTGAAAAGAAATGGAATAAAAAATTCCTACTTTACAGAGGGGAAGGCTGAGGCACAGAGAGAGTTTGTGATTTTTTTCATGGTTAATCAATAATGAAATTCCGGCTTGAACCAAAGTCTCCAGATTGGATTGTCCGCCCCTTTTTATGCTGTTGGAATGCTTTATTATGCTCCTATATTGTTATGAAATAGAATTGTTGACTGGATGCTAGGATGTCTGTGATTCTTCTATTTTCCTCCTATACATTTTTTGTTATTATTGATGCCTCGTGTTTTGATATCATAATAACTCATGAATATACCCCCACTCTCTCTAGTAACCCTTCCCCTGTAAAAAAGAAAAAAAAATGTTAAGCAAACTGTCATGGCAATCACATCTCACAACATATGTAGCATTCTGTACTGGTGTGCCCCCGTCTCTCCAGTGAAAGGAAGATATACTTTTCTTCATTTCTTCTCTAGGACTAGGATTATTCATTATTATTATACAACATTCAGTTTCGTATCATTTTTCTTTTTGTTTACATTGTTAAGGTTGTTGTATATATTGTTTTCTTGGTTCTACATGCTTTACTCTGCATCAGGTCTTACAAGTTTCCCTATGTTTCTTTGAATTCATCATATTTGTTATTACTTACAGTGGCAGTAACATTCTATTGCATTGATATCTTATAATTTATTTAGCTATCCCCCAAATGATGCATGCAACCAAAGTGTTGCTGTGAATATGTTGGTATATACAGAATCTTTCTTTTGACCTTGACTTCCTTGGAATGTATGTCTAAAAGTAGTACATATGGGTTGAAGGGTTTGGACATTTTAATCACTTTTCTTTTGCATTCTAAATTATTTTCCAGAATAGTGGGACCAGTTCACAGCTGCCACCAACAATGTATTAGTTTGCTTATCTCTATGCTATTCTACCACATGTGTCCCCTTCTTACATCCTCTCCTTTTCCAGTTCCAACTGTGAGAACAGTAATGAAATCAGTACTATTATTTCTGAAAGAGACATGTTGGTATTCAGTCATTTGTCCTATGACTCCAATCACCCTTCTATCTGACTTACTTTTCCAAAGTACTCTGGCCACCACTCCTCTATGTGTGTTATCTTCCTCTATTCAAATGTAAGGTCCTTAAGGACAAGGACAATTCTGATTGCTTTTATGTGTATCTCCAATACTTATCAGAAGAGTTGGCACATAGTTAGCACTTAATAATTTTATTCATTCATTCATTCATTCATTCATTGTTCCCATAGCCCTTTTACTAATGACTGGTCATTTTTTGGTAATCTTTGCCCATTTGCATAGTGTGAGATGAAATTTCAGAATTGTTTTGATTTTAATCTCTCCCTCTTATTAATATTCAAAACAATCTTTCATAGGAATGTTAATAGTTTACAATTCTACTTTAAGAACTCTTCATAGCCTTTGACCACTTAATTATCGGGAAAATGGCTCTTGGTTTCACATAGGGATAGGGACTAGAACTGCCGTGTTGTTAGTACAGGTGATTCCCAGGTAAGGGAAATTCCTCCACCAATGCAAGTTAATACTTTCTCTGCATTTTATCATCTAGAGAATTGCCTAGAGAGAGGTTAAGTAACTTGCCCAGAATCATTTATCTAGTCTGCTCCAGATGTGTGCCTTGAAACCCCATCTTCTTTACTTTGAAATTAGCTTTATCCATTTTCCCATGCTGCTTCTTAGATTTGCATTAATTCTTTCTTCGTGTCAAATTCCAGGATATGTCTGGAAACTGCCACAGCTGCTTGTGATTCAGTCTCCTGAGACCTCTGGGTTTGCTGGGGCCTGATCTGTGTCTGCTGAACTGCACTCCTCTCCCAGTCTGGCACAACAGACCTTTCCTATCAACCATTCGGGTTGTCTTGGGCTGGAAATTTGTTTCACTGTCTTTTTCTAGGTTCTGCTGCTCTAGAATTTGTTTAGAGTCATTTTTTGCAGGTATTTGGAGGGGTTTGGGGAAGAGGTCAAGCAAGTCACTGCTTTTACATCGCCATCTTGGCTCCTCCCCCCAGGATACTTCTAGGAATGAAGATGAGATAGAATTGACCACAGGCAGAAAAAGAAATAGCAGGTAGAATTTGCAGAGAGGAAAATATCAGCTTAACAGAAAAAAATTCAATGGACTGAGTAAATTTATCTATTTGCCGACCTGATTACTATCCTTTTTTTTTTTTTTTTGGCAAGGCAATTGAGGTTAAGTGACTTGCCAGGGTCACACAGCTAGTAAGTGTCAAGTATCTGAGGCTGGATTTGAACTCAGGTCATCCTGATTCCAGGACCAGTACTTTATCTATTGCATCACCTACCTGCCCCCCTGATTACTATCCATATCTCCATACCCAGTTTATCTGAATCTGAGATCTGGTTTTTCTCTCAGCAGCTCTACTGGTAGCCTGAAACTTGGTCCCTTCTTCCCCTTAGACATGGCTTCCTCCAGTGCTGTCCTTCTGCTGTAAATCCACTCAACTGACCCCTCAACTCCCTGAAACCAAGGCTGTAAGCTGCTTGTTATTCCTCCTTGAGAATTCTACTATATATGTGTTTCAAGGGTGTATATTTCTGAAAAGTTAAGGGCAATTCAGATTTTGGTAAGTTATAATTTAAGTGCATCACAGTTTCTCATTCTTTAAAGGAATCTGATAGGGAATAATTTTGTGATTTGAAGGATATTTTCATAAAGGAAAAATGTGGATTTTTAAAATGATTTTGTAACTTGACTCTATAAAATTTGATTCTGTAAAAATCCAAAATTGTAGGGAATGTTAGAGAGCTACAATAGACTGTGAAGACCATCTAATCCAGCCCCCTCAATATACAAATGAGAAAACTTTAGGTTTAGTTATGTAGACGGTTTGCCTACATCGCACGGCCTAGTTAATGGAAGGGTAGGGACTTGACCTCATCATCATCAGCTCATTTATCCAATCATATCTTATAACCAGTTGTCATATTCTCAATTGTATTTAAGTGGTTTAAGCTTAGTATAGAGTATCTCCATTTACCCTAGCATTTTATCAGCCTATATAAATGTACTAGACCTTGACTTTAGTGGCAGATTATAAGGCTTTAGATATAGTTTTATTGTACTTTCTATGTCAGTGTTCCACATGAAAGCTTATTACTTGTTAGCTTTGGAGTTCAAAGCATAATTTCCAAGATTCAATAAATTCACATTCACACTTTCTCCATTCATATCTTAGTGATGTAATTCTAAGTGGCTGGGCTATATATCAGAAGATAAGCATTATTCTATAGACATAAGTTTAAAACCAAGAAATTTCTCTTTGTTTTCAATGGGGATTAGATTAAGATGATAAAAGAGGGGGTATGGCCATTGTTTGCTATTCTTTAACTCTCAACTTTGGCATGTCTTATTTTTTTCAGTAGAATATAAAACAATTGAGGGAATAGACTGTCCCTTACTCTTCATATATAGAGAAATACAAATAAATTTTCTTCAGGAAAATGAAGGAATTGGAACTCGATGACTTTGATGATCCCTTCCAGCTCTGGATCAATGAATTTCAGGAGGGAGAAAGTGATTTTCCAAAAGTATGGGGCCAACCATGTTATCCCTCCCCCTTCTCAATAAATTCCAGTGGCTCCCTATAACTTTCAGGATCAAATATAAAGTCCTCTCTTTGGAGCACTTCAAAGCTCTTCATAACCTTTTCCTTCCCCCAAACTTTCCAGTTTTCACTCTCCCAGGTACTCTGTGATCTGAAAATGACATCTCCTGACTATGGGCATTTTTAACTGACTGTTCTCCCCTCCCCCATGCATAGAATTCTCTTCTTTATCTCTTCCTCTTGGCTTTTCTGGCTTCCTTCAAGTGCCAGATAAAATCTCATCTTCTAAAGGAAGCCTTTTCTGATCACACTTAATTCTAGTGCTTTCCTTTTATTGATTATTTCAAATTTGTCATGTATTTAGCTTGTTTGTACATAGTCATTTGTCCATTGTACCCCCCCCACCCCAAATTAAAAGGTGAGCTCTTCAAGAGCAGGGTCTGTCTATTTTTGTATTTCCAGAACTTAGCAGTTCCTGGCATATAATAGGTATTTCAATAAAAGTTCACTGATTGACAAGTCACCACAAGAATCAAGAAAGAATTTGTGGGAGCAGCTATGTGGTACGGTAATTAGAGTACTGGCCCTGGAGTCAAGAGGGCCTGAGTTCAGATCCGGCCTCAGACACATAACATTCACTATCTGTGTGACTCTGGGCAAGTCACTTAACCCCAATTGCCTCACCAAAAAAAAAAAAAAAAAGAAAAGAAAAGAAAAAGAAAAAAAAGAAAGAATTTGTGTATGACATGGCATTTGAGTTTAGCTTTGAAGGAAATTGAATGTTCTGAGACAGAAATGAAGAGAGTTTTCATTCCAGACCCAGGAGACAGAATGTGCAAAGCCACTGAGTTAGGAGATGGAGGGTGGTGTCAAGCTAGTTGCAATAAAGACTGTAGTGAAGAGCAAGTGAAGAGAAGTAATAGGAAACAAAAATGGAAAGGTAGGTGATAGCCAATTTGTAGGAGGGCTTTTAATGGTGGACTGAGAATTTTGTACTTTATCCTAGAGATAATAGGGACCTTTAAAGTAAAGTAGCAATATGGTCATATCTGTGTTTGAGGAATGTCAGTTTGGCAGCTGTGTAGAGAATGGATTGGAGAGGGAAGAGTTAGAGCAGGGAGACCAATTAGGAAGCGATTGCAACTGTCTGAGTGAGAGGTGATGAGAGTCTGAACTATAATAGAGCCAGTGTGAGTGAATGAATACTTGGAAGTTCACTGGCCAGTTGCTCGATTTCCCATGAAACTCCTCTAAGGCCCCTGGTAGGATAGGAACAAACTGAAGAAATTTCAAAAAGGAATTCTAACCTAAAATTGAGTATACGCAAGAGCCTAAACCCTCCCTAGTTGTCCATGTTATCTGGTGAGGGTTTTAGTCAATAACAGCAAACTTTTTTTAAGCACTTAAAGGGAGAATGGTTATGAACATCCCAGGCTTCAACCTGACATTGCTTACAATGGTGGGGATCAAAACATATTGAGGAAAAAGGTGATAAAAAGTTTGGTCATAATCGCAACCATAGGGAAGTGGCACCAGAAGGTCATTTCTTTTTCACAAATTCACAGACAAAGTACATGCTGAGGTGACACTCTGTGTCATTCCAGTGGCCAGAGCTCAGCATCTCCACGCAGTCCTCATGGCCATAGGGGTCACTTGGCTCACCCTCCTTCCAGTTGCTGTAGTTTTGTAGCGGAGTGTTGTCTGTGAACACATACTGCCCTTCCCGCTCTAGGTCATTCACCCCAATGAATACCCTGAAGAAGCCGCTGTCTGACACGTATTTAGCAATTACTTGATTGGATCTCTCATCCTTGGGCATGGCTAGCATTCCTCCACGGATTCGGCAGTGGGTCAGGGATTCCCTGTAGCTCTTCTCTTCTTGTACGATGTAATAGAATTTTTCATCTGTTTCCTTAATCCCAGCTATGACTTTGGAGGGAAGAAAATACAAGCAGGCTTACTCATATTGACAAGGAACAAAAACAAATAATATTAATGATAATAATAAAATATCGATGGCTGAAGTTTTGCTTGACTCAGACTTTGCTAATTTGATTTAAAAAAAAAAAACAAGGACAACTCTACTTTGTTTTCCCTTTCATGGACTCCTACTGAGTATTCTAGCTGTAAACCCTTCCATCTAGCCTTTCAGCTATAAGCCCTCTCACCCAGTATTCCAACCATGAACCCTCCCACCCAGTATTCCAGCTCTGAGCTAGACTAAACAAAATGAATGAAACAATAGGATGCAGTGAAGCACATAGCTGAGCATCTGGGGTGTCAACTTTTGCCCAGACACAAGAATACATCTGGATTTAGGCAAGCCACAAGCATACACTTAGAGAGGACTATTATCTTTCAACTTAGCCATTTTCAAACCTGCTTCTGTTACTGCTGTTGCTGCTGCTACTATGCCCTCCAACAAGACCTGAAGATACAAGCTAAGTATAAGCATAAAATCCTGAAGAGAGAAGTTTAACAGAGCCAATACATATCTGAAGTGGAAATGCAACAGACAAGCAAAAATAATATCATCTTCTGTGAACTAAATGCTCTCAACTTCTGCTTTTCTTATCACCTTATTTTAAGTTTATGAAGAAGAGGGCTACCAGGGAACATCTTGTACAAATCTCTATCTATATTAGAAATTGAATTAATGCCATGTTCCAAATCATACCCCATTGCACAAAACCATAGGATTATAGGATTCAGAACTGGAATGACTTATTGGGTATCAAATGAGGTAATGTGTATAAATTGCAAACTTTGAAGTTTTATATAAATGTCAGCTATTCTTATGATCGTTTTCCATCAGCACAACAGCTAGGTAGTGCAGTGGATACAGCAATGGGCTAGTAATCAGGAAGACTTCATGAATTCAAATCTGGCCTCAGAAACTTATTAGCTGTGTGATCCTGGGCAAGTCACTTAATCCTATTTGCCTCAGTTTCCTCATCTGTAAAATGAGCTGGAGAAAAACGGCAAATCACTCCAATATCTTTGCTAAGAAAATCCTGAAATGGGGTCATGAAGGATCAGACACAACTGAAACTACTCAACAACAACATCAGTATAAAATTGGAAGCTTATAACAAATTTGTTCCCCTCCTCCACCATCAATGTTATAATATGATTCTACTGCATTTTGAACTGAATTCTCTGCAGTGTATAAATTCCTGCTCTTTTAAAAGTTAGGCATATAAAGGAAGTTCATTAATTCTTCCAGTCCACTAGGGAACAATTACTGGGTTGTAGATTTAACAGTCCCTCTGTTAGTATCTACCTTGATGTCAGGAGGTACTGCACTCTCGAGAACAATAGAAGTCATTGTTATGTCTTTTAATAAAGTACCTTGGAAGTTGCAGTCAGGGGTGGGGGGAAAGAGGGAAGGAGGCAATAATTATCCCCATTTCATAGGAGGGTATAATAAGGCATAAAATATTTAAGAGACTTGCCAAAGGCCAGACAGCTAGTCCATGCTATAGTTGAACGCAAGGCCCAAATTTCCTAATTCCTGGATCTCCAGCTCTCTTAAGAAGGCTTTTTCAGACCTTTCCACAGAACTATGATGTTCTGTGAAAGCTTTATTGGGGTATTTCCCAAGTGAATTAGTTCTCAGGTACTTTTCTGGAACTGTTGATGACTTTAAGTTTCTTAGAGAATATTATTTCTGAATCCACTTCCTTCCTGTCTGAGCCATGTTTGAGCCAAATTAAAGCCATGTCTTCACCTTGCAGCATTGCATTATGTTTCCAGGTACAATTGGGGGCTATGCCAGAAACGGGCCAAAGATGAAAATTTATGACACTTGATTTATCCTGACCCAGGCAAAGAGCACCATGAAAAGTAAAGATAAATATTTGAAAACAGACTCCAGCCCTAACTTCACTACTCCAAAATCCATTATTATCCAATCATTATTATTACTTTAATACTTTTGAAAATTTTCATTATTATTATATCACATTATTATTCCCTACCTTCATGTCTTGGAATTCTCAATTTCTTTCAAGACTCAGCTAAGACACCACCTGCTACAAGAAGCCTTCTCTGATCACTCAATTATTAGTGGTCTCTAAACTATTTTATATTTACTTGTTATATCACCCAGTAGATAAAATTCCTTAAGACCCTCAAGAGTAAATAGGTTTTAGGTCTATATCCCAAAGAGATTGGAAAAAAGGAGAAAGGACCTACATGTAAAAAATGTTTATGGCAGCTATTTTTATGGTGGCAATGAATTGGAAATTGAGGAAATGCCCATCAACTGGGGAATGGTTGAAAAAGTTGTAGAATATGAATGTAATGGAATACTATTATACTATAAGAAATGACAAGGAGAGAGTTTCAGAAAAACCTGAAAAGACTTATAGAACTGATGCTGAGTGAAACGAGCAGAACCAGAAGAATATTGTACACAATAATAGTAACATTGTGTTAATAACCAACTATGATAGACTTAGCTCTCCTCAACAATGCAATGATCTAAGAAAATTTCAAAAGACTCTATGATGGAAAATGCTATCCACATCAAGAACTATGGAGTCTGAATGCAAATTGAAGCATACTATTTTCATTTTTCTTTGTTTTCATAGTTTTCCCCTTTTATTCTGTTTCTTCTTCAACACAATTGCACATGTATAACCTACATCAGATTCCTTACTATCTTGGGGAGGGAGGACGGTGAAAAATTTGGAACTCAGAATCTTTTAAAAATGAATGATGAGAGGCGGAGCCAAGATGGCGGAGGGAAAGCAGTGACTGTCTTGAGCTCTCTCCCAAAGCCCTCCAAATACCTAAAAAAATGGCTCTAAACAAATTCTAAAGCAGCAGAACCCACAAAAAGACAGAGTGAAACAAATTTCCAGACAGAGACAGCCTGGATGGTTGATCGGAAAGGTGTATCACGCTGGGTGGGGAAAGGAGCGTGGGGCAGCATGGGTGTGCAGGCCACAGCAAACCTGGAGCAGGCCTCAGAGGACTGATTCACATGCAGCTGTGGCGGTTTCCAGACTCAGCCCCTGAATGCCAAAGACAACTTAGAAGGTCAGTGGGAAAAGTCTATGACTGCAGTGAGAGAGGAGCTAGGTCTCAGTCATAAGTCTCGAGCATGGCCTGGGGCCATGGCTTTTTCCTGAGCTTCTGGCCTACAGACTGAGGGGGAATTGAGTGGCTGATCAGAGTGAGATTGCAGGGATGTCTTTGCCAGTGCTGAGGCAGGAATCTCTTGCTTTGTCCCTGCTTGGATCTGGGTCACAGTTCTGAGGGGCGGTCCTGAGGCGAGGAGGAACGCTGGTGCAGTGGAGCTTGTTGTGGTGGTGGAGAGAAACCACCTCGCCCCTTATCATACCACCTTGGAAGAACTGAAAATTTACAGGTCCCTAGAAGTACCTCTGAAAACAGCTGTACAAACCCCTGAAGCTTGGGACAATACACTCTTCACATTGGAAGCAGACTTTTACCTTAACAAAGAGTTTAAAACTCAAGTAATTGGCTGGGATCATGATTAAGCAGCACAAAAAGAGTCAGACTATATTATCTTACTTTGGTGACAAAGAAGATCAAAATATACAACCAGAGGAAGACAACAAAGCCAAAGCTCCTAAATCCAAAGCCTCCAAGAAAAATGTGAATCAGTCCCAGGCCTTGGAAGAGCTCAAAAGGGATTTTGAGAAGCGAGTAAGAGAAGTAGAGGAAAAACTGAGAGTGATGCAAGAAAATCATGGAAAACAAGTCAACAGCTTGCTAAAGGAGACCCAAAAAAATACTGAAGAAAATAACGCATTAAAAAATAGCCTAACCCAAATGGCAAAAGAAGTCCAAAAAGCCAGTGAGGAGAAGAATGCCCTAAAGAGCAAAATTGGCCAAATGGAAAAGGAAGTCCAAAAGATTACTGAAGAAAATACTTCCTTAAAAATTAGAATAGAGCAATTGGAAGCTAGTGACTTTATGAGAAATCAAGACACTGTAAACAAATCCAAAAGAATGAAAAATTAGAAAACAATGTGAAATATCTCATTGGAAAAACAACTGGCCTGGAAAATAGATCCAGGAGAGAGAATTTAAAAATTATTGGACTATCTGAAAGCCATGATCAAAAAAAGAGCCTAGACATCATCTTTCAAGAAATTATCAAGGAAAACTGTCCTGATATTTTAGAACCTGAGGGCAAAATAGAAATTGAAGGAATCCACTGATCTCTTCCTGAAAGAGATCCCCAAAGGAAAACTCCTAAGAATATTGTAGCCAAATTCCAGACTTCCCAGGTCAAGGAGAAAATATTACAAGCAGCCAGAAAGAAACAATTCAAGTATTGTGGAAACACAATCAGGATAACACAAGATTTAGCTGCTTCTACATTAAGGGATCACAGGGCATGGAATATAATATTCCGGAGAGCAAAGGAGATAGGATTACAACCAAGAATCACCTACCCAGAAAAACTGAGTATAATCCTGCAGGGGAAAAAAATGATCATTCAGTGAAATAGAGGACTTTCAAGCATTCTTGTTGAAAAGACCAGAGTTGAATAGAAAATTTGATTTTCAAATACAAGACTCGAGTGGAACATGAAGAGGTAAACAGGAAAGAGAAAATCATAAGAGACTTATTAAGGTTGAACTGTTTACATTCCTGCATGGAAAGATGATATTTGTAACTCATGAGACCTTTGTCAGTATTAGGGTAGTTGGAGGGGAAAAAATTATATGTATGTGTATATAGATATAGATAGATAGATAGAGGACACAGGGTGAGTTGAAAATGAAGGGGTCATATCTAGAGAATAAAATTAATGGGTGAGAGAGTAATATACTAGGAGAAGGAGAGAGGGAGAGGTAGAATGGGGTAAATTATCTCACAAAAAAAAAACAACAGAAAAGAAAAAGCTCTTACAATGGAGGGGAAATGGGGGAAGGTGAGAGGAAATGAGTGAATCTTATTCTCATAGGATTTGACTTAAGGAGGGAATAACACACACACTCAATTGGGTGTGGAAATCTGTCTTACCCTACAGGAAAATAGGGGAGGAAGGGGACAAGAGAGTAGGGGAATGATAGAGAGGAGGGCAGATTGGGAAAGGGAGTAATCAGAAACAAATACATCTGAGGAGGGGCAAGGTCAAAAGAAAGAATAGAATAAATGGGTGGGCAGGATAGGATTAAGGGAAATAGAGTTAGTTTTTCACAGCATGTCTACTATGGAAGTGTTTTGCATAACTGCACATATATAACCTATATTTAGTTGCTTGCCTTATCAATGAGGGTAGGTGGGGAGGGAGGAAGGGAGAAAATTTAGAACCCAAAGTTTTAAAAACACATGTTTAAAAAAAAGTTTTCACATGCAACTGGGAAATAAGAAATACAGGAAATGGGGTACAGAAATCCATCCTGCCCTACAGGAAAATTGAAGGGGAAGGGAATAAGAGAAGCAGGGGAGAGATAGAAGGGAAGGCAGATAAGGGAAGGGGTATTTAGAATGCATGCCATCTTGGGATGGGGGGAGGGGTGAGATGGGGTGAAAATTTGGAACTCAAAATCTTGTGGAAGTAAATGTTGAAAACAAAAAAAAAAATAAAAATTACCAGAATGGCAAAAAACAAAAAAAACAAAAAAAAAAAAAATGAATGCTGAAAACTATCTTTACATGTAATTGAAAAAAAAATATTATTTACAAAAATAGAATAGGTAGTTTTTCATTTTTGTCTTCATATCCCCAGTGTCTTCCACATAGTAGGTGTTTTAATAAATGTTTGTTGAAGTGAATTCAGTACTCCAAGGATCCATCATCTCATTCACAGATTAGTCCTTTCATCGGTATAGATTGTGACCCCCTCTTCCCTTGGGTGTCTTTCTATGACCAAGATATTTTATCACCTGTTGCTGAAATTTCCAGTGATAAGCCTCCCCAAACTTACCTACACTAATTCTTGGACGAGAGGGTCAATCAATTCACTTCAATTCAACAAATATTTATGAAGCACCTATTATATGCCAGGAACTATGCTAAGCACTCTGGATACAAATATGAAGAAAGAAAGGCAGACCTTGCCCTCAAGAAGCTTATGATCTAATCAGGGAAGAATACACAAAAAAAGGGAACTGGAAAGGTATGAAGTAATAGATGAGGGGGCAATCACCAGAGCTTTCCACCAATCCATTTTACTTTCCAATAGCCCTAATTGCTGGGAAATTTTTCCTGGTACCAAGTCTGAATATACATTTTTTTAATTAAATTTTTTTAAAATGATTTGGTTTTTTTATAATTTTTTTTAAAAATTTTATTTATTTATTTTTAGTCTTCAACATTCACTTTTATATGAATATACCTTTTTTGCAACAGTAGACCATTCTGATACTTCATAATGGTATGGAAATAGCATTGGTTCCTCTAAGGTCATTTCTTTGAACTAGAACTCTGGCAGGTTTTTATCAAAATGGAAAAGGTTCAAGGATGGAACCAGAAAGGGACTGTCATCAGAAAAATAACCTAGTGAGGCTCAAAAGCTTAGAACCGAAACAACAGCCATCAATTGTTCAATTTATTTTGTACACAACAGTTCATGAACCAACAGAAGGGCCATGATATATACGTTGATGAAGGGAATTCCCATATCACTGGTGAAATAATGGATCTTCTGAGATTGTGAAATAAGTCTTAATATTTCAATGATAATGGTTGCCATACCTACTACCCAAGAAGCCTTAATTGGGAACCATAGAATAATGTCCTTTGTGATGCAGGGCGAGTTAATTTTGGGGGCATGTTCCAAAGTTTAGAAGGGGACCACGTTCCAAAAAAATGCTGAGGCATACAGAATTTAACCTTTTACTACTGTCATAAAAGCAAAAACATGACACGGAAGAATTTTGAAGACCTCAGTATGAATACCTAAGCATTTCCTTAATTACCAATTCATGGAGTTGAATGTATTCAAACCACTTCCAACTTTTATGGCCTGTATAGCATATAGGCAATAAAAGTATGGCATAGTTCAAATGCATTCAAAAATAAATAAAACACTCACCATTTTTGACAAACTTCATGGATGTCTTGAGCCGTGCAACGCTAATATCTAGCTGTCCAACAACTTTACGATATCTTCCACAATCACAGACAGTACCTAAGTAATTTACAGGGAATCATGAATAAACTGGGAGGAGAAAATATATATATTCAGGCAGAACTGCTTTATATGAACGTTATCTCATTTAAGCTTCACAACAACCCTGATAGCTAGATTCCACAGAAATTATTGCTCACATTTTAAAGCTGAGAAACTGGAGACTTATGTTTTATGACTTGCTTCTAGCCAAGTAGTTATCAGTTGATTCCACTTTCAACATTCTTTCTACTATTTCCTCTTTTAATCTCTTTTGCCTTCCATTACCTCTTAAGGCAGCCCATTTTATTTCTGGACAACTCTAATTTTTAGAAGTTTTTCAGTACATTGAATGTAAATCCTTTTCCCTGCTTTTAGTTATGCCCTGTGTGGCCAAGAAGAACAAATCTAAACCCTTTTCCCATTTGTCAGCCTTCCAAATAGTTGAAGAAAGATGACATGTTTCACCTAAGTCCTCTCTTCTTGGTTATAAATATCCCCAGTTTGTTTCTTTTCTCCCAAATAGTTTTTATATATGAGTCGTCTCACCATCTGGATTTGTTGCCTTCTAGATTTGGTTAAGTTTGTCAATGCTTTCCCTAAGAGGTGGTTGTGGAGTGACTACAGCAAAGAACACATGGACGCCTTTCATTCTGGACATCAGGTTTCTATCAATGTACTTAAAATCACATCAGCTTTTTGGCTGACATGTCACATTGATGACTTGGACTGAGTTAGTGTAGCCACAAGAACCACCTATTTTAGCTCACTGTTGCCTAGCTATGCTTTCTATACTTATGCAGTTCATTTTCTTTTAACCTATGCATAGGTTAAAAGAATTATATTTATCTTGTCTATATGTAATTTCATAAGATTCAATCTAATAATTCATAAGAATGTTTTAGCCTGTTGAGAATTCTTTTTTTTTAATTTTGACTCAGTCATCCAATGTATTAGCTATCTCTTCTAGATTTGTGTCACCTGCAAATATAATAAGGAAGGCATCTCTTTCTTCATCGAAGTCATGACACAATACTAAACATCTGAACAAAATGCAAAGTTCTTGTCCAATTTATCCTTCACCTAAATTTCTGAATTGTTCATATAGTTTATACAGAGTAATTCTTTGGAGACGTCACACCTCAAAATACAGATTTAAACTTTAATAGCTTCAAACTGCATTGAGACTTTTGGGACACTTTTCATGTCATTGTTCAGTCCTGTCTGACTCTTCATGACCTTGTAGACTGTAGCACGTCAATATTGTTCAGGGGGCTTTCTTGGCAAAGATACTGGGGTAGTTTGCCATTTTCTTCTCAATTGGATTAAGGCAAATAGATGTTAAGTGACTTGCACAGGGTCCCAGAGCTTGTTAATATCTGGAACCAAATTTGAACTCAAGTCTTCTCGTCTCCAGGTCTAGCACTCTATCCACTGAGCCACCTAGCTGCCTCCCTTTTATATCACAGGGTGGTGTTATTAAGATTTTAATACAATTGTGCCTTTTTAGGGGGTGTTTAAGGATCTTGAGAATGTATAACTCTTTAGGTGGAGTCAGATCAAGTAGACTCTGAACTGTCTGTGCCATTTATTGTTTCTCTCTCTCTTTTCTCATGGGAGCCTGAAACCTTTGCTCCTAGGCACAGGGGAAAGTCTATTTATCTTTCTTCTTAAAAAAATATTTACTTTGTCTTCATCAACAGTGTTAACCATAAGTATATGCTAGTCTGGGTGTTTTGTTTTTTTTTTAATTGAGAATACAGTTAGGAAAAGGCAATTGATAAAAGAGAGGGATGTTAAACTGAGGCATTTCACCATTAGTGCTGTCTCTGGCTGGGGGAGATGGAGGGGGCAGGTAGCTAAAGCGAAAACTGGAGGAACTGATACATACTTATGTTAAAACTTTTAGAGCAAAAAAAAAAAGACTATCCCTATCTATCAATAACTCAAATGTAGGATAATGGGGTCAAATTAGAGTAATTGAACTTCTGCAAAAGAAGGAATGGGTAGGGAAAGAAATTTTGGTGGAATAAAAATATTTTAGAGCTGTCAAGGATCTCAGAGCTCAACTTGTTCTCTGAGGTCCTTTTGGCTCTAGTTTCATGATCCTACAATTTTTCCATTCACCTCATGAAAAACAAATCCTTTATCTTGCCTTGTAGGAGACCAACAATTCTCAATGATTTGGCTTAATGACCCTGACATTCTTCCATACATCCCCAATTTTTCCTACCTCCACCTGTCCCATCATGACATACATATTTCCTGTCCTATTCCCTCACAACCCTGTTTTCTGTTAGGTAACAGGGGGTAGTAATATCAAACCAGGAAGAAACTATGACCCACAGATGTGAAATAATTTCCTTAAGGTCACAGACTGGGTTAATGGCAGAGCTGTGACTAGTGGTGGCTCATACTGGAAGTCCCTGATTCTCAGCCTAATGGCTTTTGCATTAACCATCTCAAACTTGAGGGGATTTCAATGAGTACATTTGGCTATATGAAGGATTTTCAATTAAATGGCTTTTTACAAAATCTATTTGGGTTGGGAGAAGAGAGGCTAATGCATTAGAGGCAAAAACAAATGGCTAAAATGATCTGTCAGTTTCATCTATTAATGCTCCGCCCAGGTAGCCCAGATAATTAAATGTTGTCTTTAGTTTAGACAAAATTTTCCATTATTCTCCTGTGAGAAGGAAAAGATGAAGTTACAATGAAACAATCCAAATGCCTTTGTTTAAAAAATATTGCCAATGAAATTGTCTCCTCCCAATAAGAGAGCTTTGGAAAAAGTGAGAAAGTCCTGAAGGGTGAGATAAGTAAAGGCTTGATTTCAGCAGGTTTCAATTCATACTTGCAAAAGAGCTGGCAGGACTTAAAGCCAGGAAGACCTAGGTTCAAACCCCACCTCCGTCAAGTACAGGGTGTGTGACCTGGGCAAGTCACTTAATGAAGCCGACTTGCAATAGTAAAAGCCATTTCTTCAAGTGGAAGTCTCTATTCCAATGAAATCACAGGTGTAGTCCCTATCTCTTAAAAGTCTGGCAGGTGTTTGGATGGAAGTGCTTGAGGAATGTAAGGCACACCAGCAAAGCACTGCTGAAATACTTTGGCACTCCCCCCTACCCCAATATCTTTATCTGAATAACCAAGTCTGCTTCCCTGGTGTGTCTGGGATAGCTTCTCTGACAGTTTACTTGACAGGTGTGGATTGCACAGCCTTATTTCATCAGTGCCTGGAAAATCACCTAATAGCCTAAGAAGAAAGTTCCCATTTCTCCCACTGGCTTATTAAAACTTGGTGATCCAGCCTGAGGAAAAAAGTGTTGCTATTAGGGGAATGCTGATTTTTCCTTTTTCTTTTTTTAAAATTATCTTTGTTAATGAATAATTGGTGTCAACCTGAGGGGATCTGGAAAAATGGTAAGAATGAAAAGAGAGTGAAATATAACATACCTGCTCTGCCCTTTCCCCCTGAGGCACCAGGCAAGCCTTTTTGCCCTTTGTCACCTGCATGAAAATGAAACAAAATCCAAAATTGAGTGAACAAAGTAGTCACTGATTATTGCAAGACAGCCAATGAAGAAAAGGAAAGAGGGACAGCTAGGTGGCGCAGTGGATAGAGCACTGGCCCTAAAGTCAGGAGGACCTGAGTTCAAATCCGGCCTCAGACCAAAAACTTGACACATACTAGCTGTGTGACCTTGCAAGTCACTTAACCCCAATTGCCTCACTAAAAAAAAAAAAAAAAAAAAGGAAAGGACATATTTAAGAAGCCAGCTAATTTCTTGGCTTTGTATTCTCATATCAATCCTGGACTATGGTATGTCCATGTGTGACAGTCAAGCATTTAGGTATTTATTTGTTCTGCACGTAGAGGGTAAGGAAGATGCAGAAGGGACTGGTTGGCTGTTTTGTAGCTTTACTGCTCACTGCTTACTCAGGGTACCGTGAACTCTTACAGAGTCTGTTAAGATTAAAAAAGGGACCAACATTTTCTCAGTGATGATCGAGTGAGTTGTGGTTCAGAATTCCACCTGCCTTATGGCACCGATGAATTAATTAAATCCTGGGTTTTACTGGGTGTGGCTTTGCCTTTGAGAACTACAAAAACACACTCTGGGATTTTATGTCATATCCTAAGCCAGTACAAGTAGCCTGGCAAAAAGAGATATCCTTAGCTCTTGAGAATTTTCTTTATTTCTATTATCTGTAAATGGGGAAGGCTTGTTCAGGAGCTAGTGTGAATGAGAGGCAGCCCCAGTGCAATGGAAAGAGAGCCGATCGTAAAGCCAGAAACACCAGGGTTCAAGTCCCATACCTTAAATATTCTGACTTTGTGCCTCTAAGCGAGTCAGCAACTCTCTAAGACTCTAAGTTATAGGGAAAGAACCAGACTGCACTGGTAGAGGGAAATGTTTTCATATGAAAGTTCTCTGGATCAATGAAATCACAGATCCAGTCACTATCTCAATATGAATTTAAATGTCTAAAAAAAGCTTAGTAACAATAAAGAGCTATGTAGATGCAAATAATTAAATGTAAGTTGTCACTAATGAATGAAAGGCAAAAATATTAGACATACTGTCAAAGACCTCAATTGATACTAATGTTTTTTTCTTCTTTGTTATTTATTTTTAACATTTAAAAAATTTTTGAGTTCCAAATTCTTTTCTCCCTCCACACCCTCCCCCACCCATTGAGAAGACAAGCAATACGACATTAATTACACATGTAAAATCATGTAAAACATATTTCCATATTAGTCATGTCACAACGAAGCAAGAAAAATAAAGTGAAAAAATATACTTCAATTTGCACTCAGAGTTCTTCAGTTCTCCCTCTGGCAGTGGATGGGTTTTTTTCGTCATGAACCTTTCAGTATTATCTTGAATTATTATATTGATCAGAGTAGCTAAGTCTTTCACAGTTAATCATCATTACAATATTGTCATTGCTATGTACAATGATCTCCTGGTTCTCCTTACTTCATTCTGCATCAGTTCATATAGGTCTTCCCAGGTTTTTCTGAGACTATCCCTCTTGTCATTTCTTGTAGAATAATCATATTCTATCACAATCATATACCACAACTTATATTCATCCATTCCCCAATTGATGGGCATCCCCTCAATTTCCAATTCTTTGCCACCATCAACACCACTGTTTTAAAATTTTGCCTTTTTTTTTACAATCACATTTATTTCCTGAAAATAATCCCCATTCAGTGACTTTACTCATAAAAAAAGACTAAAAAATTTCTTTTTTAAAGTAGTATAGCAATATTTACCACACATTAACTGTATCTGACAAAAAGTCTATACACATGTATATATGTGTACATGTATATGTACACATAATGTGTATGTATGTACAATATACATCTATAGTCCCTAGACTCTGCAATGAAGGTAGGGAGGTATTGTCACTAACTTTAATACTACTACAGATTATAGGGACTTTGGAGTTCCATGTTCAAAGTCAGGGTTGAACAGAACTAACTTTTTAATTTTGCTCAAGCCCTCACTTCCGTATGTGAAATTTCAATTTATGGATTACTTATGTAATAAGTATTTATGGATTGCCTGTCTAGCACTGTGCTAGGTGCCATGAAGGATGCAAAAGAAATGGAGGGGGCCTTTGACCTTAAGGCCTTCACACTCTTATTTAGGAAATGAGACCAATGCACCTGGAAGACAAGATGAATCAGAATGCATGTCACATGACAAAATGAGTTGGATACATAATAAGTGTAATAGGAGTGGAGAGAAGGATAAGTATTTGAACAAATGGTTCACGGGGGAAGAGGGCAGCCTCTTAGACTCAAATGGGACTTTTTTCTGAGACCTTGTAAGTGTTTGGATTATGGTAGTAGAATCCCTAATTTTTCTGACCTTTTCCTGTCTTGATTGATAGGCAAATTAAAGCAAAGGTGAGATTAAGAGTAATGAGTGAAATCACCTACTGAGTTTGCTATTAAATTCAATATCAATTCTCTATCTTCAGAAACCCAAGCTTAGGTTCTATGGCCCCTACTTTTTTCACACATTTCTTGAAAAATAAGCAGTATTATCCCCAATTTTACTTAAAAAAACATAGAATGAGAAAGATTATGTGACTTTCAGGACACTTACAATAACAAGTGATATTTATACTGCTCTTTAGAGTTTACAAAGGACTTTTACTTATGTTACCTTATGTAGGCTTCTCAATAACTTTTGAGATAAAGTGCTACATATATTATTCTCCCCACTTTACGATAAGAAAACTGATATTAATTCACAGAGGGTAAATGATTCACACAGCTAGTAATTGTAGAGACAGGATTTGAACTTAGGAATTCTTGACTTAGAGGCAGCTGGCTAGAGTCCGACTCTAGAGTCTGACTCTGGCTAGAGTCAGAAAGATCTGAGTTCAAATTTAGTCTCAGATACTTAGTTGTATGAGCATGGGCAAGTCATTTAACTTATATTTGCTTCAGTTTTCTCAGTTGAAAAATGAGGATAATAACAGGTTCTACCTCACAGAGTTGTGAAAATCAGATGAGAAAATATTTGTAAGAAGCACTTGGCATAGTGCCTGGCACATAGTATAGGTTATATAAATGTTTATTCCCTTTCCTCTCTCACTCACTTTCCCCTCTTGACTTCCAGGTCATACAACTCTCTCTAAATCTAGCATTCTTATACCATACTGGATCCCGAAGGTCTATGAGAGAGAGACAGGGAAAGAGAGAGAAGAGAGTGACAGCATATTTAGTAAAAAAAAAAAAAAACAAACAAACCCAAAAAACATTATTTACAATAAATGATAGCATTTACTTTACCATGCTAGTGTGCCTGTTTGTAGTAAATCACATCCCCTACCTATTCTTAAAATGAAATATTAATGTCCAGAAAGCTACCTTTCCATGGCAAGTGGCAATATTAAGGTCATCCCTGAAAGGTGAGATTAATTTGAGTTAATGAAAAATTTAGGAGGGCCATGGAGAAAATGATGGTAATAAATTTCAAAGAACAGGTTAAAAATGGAGTTAGTATAGGGAGGGCTAGAATAGTGTTCCTCATTTTTTTGCATTCCAGCACATACTCATAAATTTCAGTGGCATGTCTTAAAGGGATGAGTCCTATTGCCCATTGATGAAAACTGATGTTAGATGGGGCTGGCACAGAGGGAAGGACCATAGACCCACTGTGAAAAGCCTATGTGTAACTATGATAATAAAGAATACAGAGAGTAAAGGAATATAAACCCCCAAGTAGTAGTTTATTTGCTGGCAGGGAAAGATTTGGAATCCTTGGATTCTCCTTTGTTTGAGGAGAATGGAGAGAAAATACTCTAGAACCACAGAATTTGAGAGCTTGGACAGACCTCAGTAGCCATCAAGTGCTACCCACACCTGTGAAGAAATCACCATTCTTACATATCTGACCAGTGGACATCTAGACACTGCTCAAAGACTTCCATTGTGGAGGAGCCCACCAACATGACTGAGTGGAAGGAGCCCTGGCTCTAGAGTTAGAAGAACTCAGTTCAAATCCCCTTTCTGACACTTAGCTTCTCAGATGACCTTGGGCAATCTACAACCTCCCTAGACCTCAATTTTCTCAGCTCTCAAGTGAGAAGGTTGGATTAGGTGGTCTCTGAGGTACCTTCAGTGCTAGGTCTCTGAACCGGTAACCTCTTGTACAACCTGTTCCATTTTTGAACAATTCCAATTTACACCAAGCCTTAATTTGCCTCTTTGTAGATCCTACTCATCTTTCCTGGTTCTACCCTCCGGGGCCAGGTAGAACAACTTCTTCCTCATGAGAACCCTTCACACACTTGTTAGCAGCTATCATGTCTTTCTTCTTCAGGCTATACATGCCCAGTCCCTTCACTCCATCCTTATATGACATAGACTCAAGTTTCTTCACCATCCTGGTTGCTCTCCTCTCAGTGTTCCCCATGTCATAAATATCCTTCTTAAACTCTAGTATCCAGAAATGAATTAGATTCTCCAACCACAACTTGCTAACCTTCCACTTCTTCTATTCCTTCACCCATCTATATTAAACACACTCAAATCTTCTGTTGACCTCAAGCCCCTTGAAAAATCTCTACTCTCCAAATATACCCCATTTTTTTTATTTACTTAGCGCAGTGCCTGGCACATTATAGGGACTTAATACATGTTCATTGGTTTTTGACTTTTCATCACACTCATGCTTGAGGTCATGATCTGCCATTTTAATATTTCACTAGTTATTATTTCAGAATCTCTAGTCCCCAGCATTCTGATATTCCTGATCTGCAAATCCCTTTCCTTTGGTACCCCTCTCCCAAACCAATTTCTCCATTCTTGTTGCTAAACATCACTAGAAAAAAGAAGAAAATCAAGATTATTTTACCCACTAAAAGTTTATGATAACTCACCCTACTTGTGCCCAAGCTACTCTCACTATCCTATCCTAACTTTTTAAACTCTCTATTTCATTCCATTAGCAAATTTATTGACCCTTTTCCATTCCTAAGGTCATAAGCTTAGAGCTAAAAATATTTTCAATATCAACAAGACCATGCCCCCTCCTTCACTTGAACAGATAAGGAAACCAAGAACCAGAAAGGTTATGTTGTTAGCCAAAACCACAGAGGTAATGAGTAGCAGAGGTAGGATTCGAATGCACATCACCTGACTGAAAATCTAGTCCAACCTGGATTTAAAAATCCACCTTTAAAAATCTAACTTAAATGCCATCTCTTTCATGTAGCCTTCTCTGATTCCCTCAATTTATAATGCCCTTTCTTTCTCCAAAACATCACATAGCAGATTTATTGCATCTCTTTCATAATTTACCAATATAATTTTGTATTACTTACTTGTATATAGATAGATAGATAGATAGATAGATAGATAGATAGATAGATAGATATAGATATACTATATCTCCTTACCAGACCATAAGCTCTATGAAGGCAGGAATTGTATCTTATCTAAATTTTGTATATTCCCTAGCTCCTAGGGAATACACATTATAAATGGTAGAGGATTAGTAAATGCTTATTGAATTACAATGAACAGTGGTAGACCTGGAAGTAGAAACTATGAATTCTCATACAATTATCATTTTCTAACAGAGATCAATAATTCAATTTATTATTAAAAAAACAAATATGCCTTAATTAGTCACCTACTAGTCTCAATGTACTGTTCTAGGCTAGTCTTTGGTTGGTCAGTCACTCAAGTAGCATTTATTCAGTATCTATTATATGTTAAAAAAAATGTGCTAAGTGCTAGGGATACAAAGAAAGGAAAAAGACAGTTGCTGCCCTGAAAAAGCTCACATTCTAATAGGGGAGGTGATGGGCAAATAACTATGTACAAAGAAGATATATACAGGATAAATTGGAGATAATCAAAAGAGTGAAAGCATTAGAATTAAGGATTGGGAAGGGCTTCCTGTAAAAGGCAGGATTTTAGCTGAGACCTAAAGGAAGCCAGGAAACAGAGATGAAAGAGAGCATTCTAGGTGTGGGGGACAGCCAGTGAAAATACATGGAGTCTAGATATGGAGTGTTTTGTGTGAGGAACAACAAGAAAGGCCAGTGTCATTGGATCATAGAATATAAGGAGGGAAATAGGATTTAAATAGACTAAAAAAAAGTAGAAGAAAGTCAGGTTATTTAGAGTTCTAATGCCAAACAAAGGATTTTATATTTGATCCTTTAAAACTGGAGGTGATATGGAGGCACTAGAGTTAGCTGAATGGGGGTGGTGGTTATGGGGATTATATTGTCATATCTGTGCTTTTAGAAGATTAATTTGGCAGCTGAGTGGAGATTGGCCTGGACTGGGGAAACACTTGAGGCAGGGAGATCTATCAAAAGGCTATTGCAATAGCATAGATGTGAGGTGGTAATATAGGTCCACACCAAAGTGACAACAGTGTCAGAGGAGAGAAGAGAACATATACAAAAGCTCTTATGAAGGTAAAATCAAGAGAACTTGGCAACAGATTGAATAGGTGAGTGAGGGAGAATAAGATTCAAAAATAACACCTAGATTGTGAACCTGGAGTGACTGGGTGACTAGGAGCATGATGGTATCTTAGACAGTAATAGAGAAGTTCAGAAGGGATGAGAATGGGGAAAGCTGATGAGTTCAGTTTGGGCTTTGTGGAACTTAAGATGTCTATGAGACATCCAGGTTGAGATGTTCATAAGGTGATGTAAGGCTGGAGTTTAGGAGAGAAATTAAGGTTGGATAAGTAGATCTGGGATTCATCATCAGCACAGAGATGATAGTTTAGTCTATGGGAAGTGGTGAGATCAAAAGTGAAATAGTATATATACAGAAGAGGACTTGGATGAAGATCCAGTAAAGTAGACTGAGAAGAAGTGCTCAGACAGGTGCAAGAACAAGGATAGAGTATTGTCATGGAGACCTATGGAGAAGAGAGTATCAAAGAGAATAAGGGTGACTGACAGTGTCAAAGGCTACAGAAATTTCAAGAAGAATGAGGAATGAGAAAAGATCACCAAAATTGGCAAGTAAGAGAACTTTAGTAAATTTGGAGAAAAGTTTCTTTTGAATAATGAAGTTTGAAACCAGATTGAAAGGAAATGAAGTTGAGGCATTGATTGTAAATGGCCTTCTCAAACCATAAAAAAGGTGAAAGGGATGGGACAATAGCTAGTGAGGATGGATAGATCAAGTGGAAAGTTTTTAAGGATGGAGGAGACAAAGGCATGTTTGCAGGTTGTCAGGAAGCAGCCAGTAGATAGGGAGAGAAGGAATGACAGAGGAGGAAATCTGTAGGAAAAGATAGGTTGAAATGGGATCACATGTACATATAGATGTTTCTCCCCTCCCCCTGGTCAAGAGGGGCCACCCTTTCATGTAAGACAGGGGTGAAGGAGGAGGCACTGGCAGAAAGCATCTGAGTGATGTGCAGTGAGGAAGAGAATGGCCCCATTTTTTTCAGTGAATATGAAGCCAGGTTCTCAGCTGAGAGGATGAGAAGAGGAGGAGAAGGTATAGGAAGAGGTTTAGGAAGGATGAAAAGGTTTGGAAGACCTGATGTGGTGAGTAGTATAGTTAGGAATGCAAATATGAACAATGTCCTATTGATGAAGAGTTTACCACTGAGTGAAAGGATATGAAGGAAGAGCATGGTATAGAGAAAGAACATCAGATCTGGCATTGGAAATCTGTGGTTCTAGTCCCAGCTCCACCATTTAACTGATATATGCCTTTGGCCAAATCTCATCTCCTCTCTAGACTTCAATATCCTTAACTACAAAATGAAAGGGTTGGATTAAATAATCTCTAAAATTCCTTCTGGTTTAAAAACATTTATTTAAAAAGTAGATGAGATTTTTAATGACTTACAATCATAAAAATAAGCAAGCAAAAAAAAATCCTTAAGAAAATAACTACAATTTCATGCTTAATTTACTTTGAAATGGCAATAGGAAATAAGCCAATATAACTCACCTTTTCCACCAATTGGTCCAATTTTGCCAAGGTTTCCTTGGTCGCCTACCTCACCCAGTTCTCCTTTCATTCCTGAAAATCAAACCATGTTATATTTGCTATTTTTAAAAATAAAACTTGTGGAATATTTGCTATGTCTCTAAGGTAGAGGGAATAAATAAAAACACTTGAGAAAATATCAAAATGTGTTCTAAATGTGCTGTATAATCTAGAATATCATGGAACATTAATTTATATGTATTTATATTTCATGGCTAAATATTGGAAACAGAAGATAATGACATGGTTTTTAAAAGCTTGTTTTATATGTGATCTAAATAGGTAGTTATAATAAAAATTAACTTTTATTACAAAATGAAAGCATCACCCAAGATTAATTTTAATTTGATTATTAAAATAAGGTGTTGGACCTTAGGACTTGCATGCTCTATTATGATCCAGCTTCTGTAATTTGTTTGAGTTGACAATGAGCAAACTTTATTTCTTGTGATTTTTTTGCCTCTCATCTCTAAAATGAATTCCAAACAAATATACAAAAATAATCAGCTATTGTATATAATATAATATCATATAATATATATTATAAATGTGAGGTTTTTTTTTTTACAACTACCACACTACAGGATCACAGGAATAGAATCAGTGAATTTTAGATCCAAACCAGTTTTAGACCTTAGAAATCAATTATTCTAATCTATCCCTTTTTTACAGATGAGAAAGCTGAGGCCTAGAGAGGTTAACTGCCTTGCCCAGACTCACAGAGACAATTCATCCCAAGTGGATGGTGACCAGAATGGTTCTGAACTTATCTAAGATGACTGAGAAAGATGCTTCTTGCATCAATTCATAAGAACTCTGACTCTTCCCCCTCTCCCTACACATTCATGCCACAGCAGGAATGGAGTTATATGCAACCAAGTGAGCCACCTGGGGATGAGGCTGCAGCCTGGTGGTTTATGACTAGAATTCATCAGCATGGGATGACAGCACCAGCTTATTATGGTGACAAAGTGTCAACTAAAGAGCATGGATGTTCCAGTTCAACACCTATGTCTGTATCAATAAGCAGGCCACGGCCTAAAGCCACAAAGTTTGTCCTTATTCTTTATCTTGGATTTTTTTGGTCTGCATCTATGAAAACACAAGGAAGCTTTAAAAAGGGTAAGGGGGTGCTTTTAAAAAGCACACCTATTTGATTCATAGTGGTCCACTTTTATACTTTGGGTAATGTGTCATTGGACTATTCCTCTTCATCTGCATTGGAACGTGAGGATAGCAGCAAGGAAAAAAAAAATCCATGCTGTTGAGAACTCGAGTCAGTTTGAGTAAAACTTAGTCCTCCACTCCACTCAGAGTCTTTACTCCCAAATCTTTACTTCTCCCTCCTTCTTTCTCCTTCACCCTTCTCTTCCTCTCACCATTCTCTCTCTCCTCTTCTCTCTCCTATCTCCCTCCCCTCTATCTTTCCCTCTCTCTGTTCCCCACTTTCTCTTTCTCTTTCCTTCCCCTGTCTTTCCCCTCTCTCTTCCCCCTCTCTCTTTCCCTCTTTTCCTCCTTTTATTTTTCCTCTTTCTCCTACCCTCTCTCCTCCCCCTCACTCTCTTTATTCCTGCCTTTCTCCCCCATTTCTCTTCCTCCCCCTTTCTCTTTCCCCCCTCTGTCTCATACATATTTGTATATTTAATATATGTATCATATATCCATATATGTGTATTTATATTCTATTATTGATATCTATTGTCTATTGATATCTATATCTACATATACATATGTATATGTATATATATACATATGTGTGTATGTGTATGTGTGTATCTATAAATTCTGGGGTTTAGATACTTAAAGACATTTCCTGCCTTGGGATCCCTGTCACCCCTGTGAACCTTGTGCTATCATGTAGGTAAACATTCCAGAGGAGGGACATATTCCTCATTCTGCTAATGATCTGTACTGCAAGGGGAGCCAAGGAAAACAGCCTGTTTGATGATAAACAAAGAAATATGAAAAGAGCTATTCCTTCACCCCTTCACTTCTAACCTCGTGGCCTGCATGGGGAAGAAGAGCTAGGCCTTGGGGGTTTCTGAGGAGAGCCACTGGACGTGGAGATATGCTTTCAATGCCTACATGGGTCCTTAGGGATTCTAAGGTCTCTGTGTCCCACAGAGAGGCCTAGGTAGGAGTTTTATTCATGCTATCACCAAGGATACAGGTGGAGGAAAGGATTAGAGCCTACTGATAGGAACTCTCCCAGGGATACTGGATGGTGAGTTAATTCATGTTAGTAACACATTTTATGCATCTCTGTGGTAAAGTGCTTTATGAAAGCAACTGATTTCCCATACAAAGAACAGACTGTTTGACATGCCCAGCAGGGAAAGAGAGAAGCACTCAGGAAGGTACAGTGTAAATTTCAACAAGCTTCTTACCTACCTTTCGGCCCCATGGGGCCCACTTTTCCATGCTTTCCCTCTTCTCCCTTTTCTCCTTTCTCACCATCATCCCCTTTAGAAACAGAAAAATAAGATATGAAGAAGCAGTTCAAATAACAACACAATCAATTGTGTCTCAGAATGAAATACTATTCACTCTTAGAAGGTATTCAGCATCAATGAAATGAGTGTGTGTGTGTGTGTGTGTGTGTGTGTGTGTGTGTGTAGGCATGTGCATGCATTCGTGTCTAAGTGGCATTGAGAGGAAGGCACCTTTTCCCTTCAGCTATAACATCCCCTTTCTACTCCCACCATGGCTCAGGAAAAGCTAATAGTGAAAAAACACACAAATGGCTAAACCACATTGCAGGAAGAACTGTACTGTCTTGAGCCTGGTCTCATTCCCTCCCTGAAAGTCAACATTTTAACAAGTCAGGTGAACACTTAACTACCCCTGGACTGTCTGCATCCCCAGGGACAAAATAGCAGGATGCCCTTATGGGTAGTAGGCACTTAATAAATGCTTGTTGAATTAAGTCACATACTTTGGAGCAGGTTTAGAAGTAGGACTTTCAGCCTCCTAATTATGGAAATGATTGCTGTCCCTATAGGCTGATCTAATTAATAATGGTTGTTTCTTTCATCCACGAAATGAGGAAGTTGGACTCGATCCTCTCTATGGTCCCTTCTGAGTCTAAATCTTTGCTCCTATGATCTCTGAGGGAGTTGTCCCTGGAAGACCCTGGGATACCTGCTCCTTCTTTCTGCTGAGGACAGAACAATGATAGTGCATTCCCTTAAATTGTAGTACAAGAGATTTGAGAGAGAGACTTTTATCTCACACTGAATGGTTAACAGCCCATCAGCAAGCATTTATTAAAAGCCTGCTACATGCCAGGCATTGTGCTAGGTGCTAATGATACAAACAAAAAAGTAAATAGGTGTGTATAAGTGTAATACGTAGTATGTAATATGCTTATATATAAACATATTCATTATAAATTAATTATTGTGTGATATATCATGTGAAATATATAACACATGTATGCACATATGCATATGTGTATATGCATATCGTATATATGTGTGTATATCTAATACTTATATATAGATATATGTATATATTCGCATACATACATATACATATGTGTAACTAATATTTATATGTATATACACATCTAGCTATATGTATGTGTATGCTATATGTATTGTACATCTATAAATATTGCATATACTAATTCACACATACTATACATATATACATGCATGTATACATATTTATATGTATATATGCACCACAAACACACACATGAATTTATGTGTATATACATGTACATGTATCTATGAATGTACATACATGTGTGTATGTGTGTATGTATATTTGTTCATCCTAATTTTTCAAAGAGGACCAATGGCATCGTAGGTGATAGCTTGATTCGTAAATGAATTGGATTTAAATGAGGCAGAGTTGGGCAAAGTCTTCAGCCTCATTCTCTTTTCCAGAGTCATTGAAGTCCGGTGGAAAGATAGAAGTCAAGACCATGGGCGATAGCCCGGGCTGTAGTGGATGACCTTGGCATCTTCAATGTCCAACCAAGCTCTGAGCGTTCTACATTGCCTGCTTTAGCTGCCTTCATGATGTTGGAACAAATTGTTTTCATCCTCCCATTCAGCTGGGGAAAGTCTTCACATGCTTTGGGCAGACATCCCTCTAGCACACTGACGGGTTTGAGGCCTGTTGTTTACCCTCCACCTGGTTTAGCCTGTCTGCCCAGATGGTTTTACTAGGGTGTGGCTGCTGTGCCTGCTACAGCTTCTTAGAGCCACAGGTGAGAGTTGAATGCCAGGTAGACACCAAAGGTAGATGCGCAGCCCTGAAAAGGGCTCAGCAAGCCCTCACACCAGAAGTGCTGGTCTTCCCTGAACAAAGATAGGTGGCATAATAGATTAGAGCTCCAGGCCTGAACTTAGGATGACTCATTTTTCTGAGTTCAAATCTGGCCTCACACGTTTGCTATCCGTGTGACCCTGGGCAAGATCTGTTTGCTTCAGTTCCTAATCTATGAAATTAGCTAGAGAAGGAATGGCAAACCATTCTGGTATCTTTGTCAAGAAAACACCGAATGGGGACACAAGTCAGATATGACACACATACACATGTGTTCACATATGTGTATACACATGTGCATAACTGTCTACATATATACACACCCATACACATGAAATGCAAAATTCAGGAAAGGCATACTTTAGAAGGTTGTGCTTGAAACAGATTTTGAAGAAAAGAATGCATTCTGTGGAGCTGAGAAGGGGAGGGAAAGCCTTTCAGAAAGCCAGTGCAAAGGTTCAGAGATGGGAGATATAGTATTCTTTGTGAGGATACAGCAACGTCATTTTGGTTACTTCAGAATGGTAGAGTTGGAAGGCAAGTAATGCATAATGAGGCTGGAAAGGTAGGCTGGGGCCAGGATGTGCAGGGCTTTGGAAGCTCAGCAGAAGAGATTGAGCTCTAGAGGCAAAAGGGAGCTGGTGTAGTAAACTGAGTGAGGCAACAGAATGGTCAGTTCTGCACTTAAGGAAGATCACCTTGGCAGTCCTGTGAAGGAGAATTTGAACTGGGGAGAAACTTGAGGCTTACAACCATCCACGGGAGAGTGACAAGGGCCTGATTATGGTGGCTACAGTGTTTCATCTTTTGTAACGGGCTTTGATTTTCTTATTTTCTCAGTGGGTGGGGGAGGAGGAAGGGAGAGAATTTGGAGCTGAAAACATCCTGATCTTTAGACTGTCAGAGCTGGAAAGGACTTTAGAAATCATCTAGATAAGTTTTAGAGTCAGTTTCAGGTGATTCTAAACCTCAGAAGTCATTTCCTCCGTCATTTACGAAGAAGCGGCCCCAGACTCACCTTCTCTACATAGGTGGACTGCACTTGGAGCCAGAGAAGGCTGGTTCAGCACTCACCTCCAACATTCCCTAGCTGTGAGACCATGGGCATAATTTCCCTGTGCCTCAGTTTTCTCTTCTGTCAAATACGGATACTGACAACTGCAATGCCCACCATACAAGGTTGTTATGAGGTTCAAATGAAACAAAATATGTAAAATGCTTTATAAAGCTTAAAGCTCGATATACATGTTAGATATTATTATTCTCTGATTTTTAAAGCTAGATAGATTCTCATTGATTAGGAAGGGTGTGTGGGGTTATGCCTGAAATGGTGATCACAAATTAAATGAAGTCTCCAAATCCCTTCCAGGTTTGAGATTTTCTGACTACTTTGTTGTTCAGTTGTTTTTCAGTTGTGTCTGACTCTTTGTGACCCCATTTGGGGTTTTCTTGGCAAAGATACCGGAGTAATCTGTTATTTCCTTCTCCAGCTCATTTTACAGATGAGAAACTGAGGCAAACAAGGTTAAATGACTTGCCCAGAGTCACACAACTAGTAAGTGTCTGAGGTCAGATTTAATCTTCGGAAGAAGAATCTTTCTGACTCCAGGCTCAGTGCTCTATCTACTGCAACACCTAGCTAGTAGCTATCGCTTAGGGAAAAAAAAAAAATCTGTTTTGTACACATACACACACACGTATATGTGTATATGTATATGTGTATACACATATGTATACACATATACATATATGCAAATATATATACACATACACACATACATGTATATGTGTATGTGCATATAAATATATAAGCATACACACACACACACACACACACACACACACACTATTCATTATTTTCCATCACCTTTTTTGCTGTGCGGAAGATCAACTGAGAACCAATCTGGTTACCACCCCCAACATATGTATGGATATATACATCTATACATACACACACACACACACGTATAGATAGATGTATATTTATACACATGCATGTATACACATGTGTTCACATGTATATATGGTTATACACACATACACATGGTTTATATGTATGGTTATATAAATATATGTATGGTTATATGCATACATGTTTATATGTATGTTGTATACACACATGTTTATATGTATGTTAGATACACATATACATACATGTTTATATGTATGTTATATACACATATATACATGTATATATACACACATGTGTGTGTATGTATACATATGTTGAGGGTGGTAATCAGATTGGTTCTGAGCTGGTCTCCCACACAGCACAAAAGGTGATTAAGAATGATGTTAATACAACTGCTTCCCTCTGTGATTCATAAGAACTCTGGCCCTTCCCCCTCTCCCTACACTTTGTGCCACAGCAGGTGTGAAGTGATGTGCAGCCAACAAAGCCACCTGAGGATGGGTCTGCTCCCTGGTGGTTTATGATTGGAATTCATCAGCATGGGGTGACAGCACCAGCTTATTGTGGTGACAAAGTTTAAAAAAAAAAAAGGTCGGGATGCTCCAGCTCAGCCCTTAATCCTGTGTCAATAAATAGGCCACAACCCAGAGCTGAAAGAGCCTTGTCTTTACACTTAATCCTGGATCATTATGGCCTGGACTTTTGACAACAGAAAGAAACTATAAAGGGTATGCTTTGAAAAAGCAAGGCTGTATGGCCCACAGTGCTCCACTTTTATCCTTTGGGTAATGTCTCATTGCATTACTCCTACAGTTTAGTCTCCCTTTTCCTCATTTAAAAATAGCCCCTTGAGTCAAAAAGTTAAATAAAAAACTAAAATAGGATGAACTCATTTTAATGCACATACACTCCCATATACAGGCAGATCTCTCCCTTCTCTCAGGCTAAGAACTTGCCATAAGGATCTATCTCTAGGAATTGGAGCAAAGAGCATGGCTAACTTATCTTTCCCTTTTGGATAATTTTCTCCAAATGCAAAACTATTTATTAGATTTACTTTGCACACAAGGTGTTGACATGGGTTCTCATTATATCACTTTGAGTCAGGACTTAGATCTATTTTATTTCATCATAAATTAGGGATTTGGCTTAATATCAACTCACATTTAAAAAGCCTTTCCAGGTCTGCAATGCAGGGTACATTCCTAATCTCATTTTATCCTCCTATAATCCTATGAGACAGGTGTTATTGTCATCCCCACTTTACAGAAGA